TCAGGAGCCATCACTTTTGCATAAAGGTTGGGCTAGAGAGGGGCCTAGAGCACGAGGTGAACGTGCAGTTAGGGGACGTGGGGATCATACACATGATCTTGTACATGGTGGAGTGTTTGAGGAGATGTCAAATCCTCCTAAGGGATAACAGCTCAAGCGACAGAGGAGACCACCACCATGTGGGATGTAGTTCATATTTTTTTTCTTTATTACTTATTTTTTTCATGCTCTAGATAACAAAGTTTTTATCATATTTAGTTTTGTGTTAGTTACTTACTCCATTGTCAAATAGAAATTCAACATTCTCTACAACAATTTCAACACAATTTATTTAATATAAACAGACAACACTAACTGCACTATTACACCACGTTTAATAGAAACATAATAAACCAACATAATGGAAACAAAACAATGACAATATTGTCCAAATGTTACAGTACAATAATAACATAAAACTTCACCATGGTTCATGGGTCTTCATCTGCATTGGATATCTCGACATCAAAAATACATTCAGCTTCCCCACTCAAGCGAAAGATTAAACGTGTTTTTTCTATCAACCTTTCTTCAGAACGGTCTTGTGCGATGTGACATAGATTGTACTGATTCAAACGGATTTCCATGAGATTGTTTTCAATACGAAACANCTAACCTCTCCACGTGTACCTACATCGACATGGTGACGCACACCTTCACAAGAGTCAGTTGTTTTAGGAGATGTGACATAGTTAGATGCTGAGACAGATACACTATTGCCCAATGTGTCTTGTGATCCACAGATTGTTCCACTGATGCCCCATGGGCATATCTCTCCTATCCCATATGACTCATCCAGAGATGACGAGGGTCCTATTGAGGGAGGAACTCAGGAGCCATCACTTTTGCATAAAGGTTGGGCTAGAGAGGGGCCTAGAGCACGAGGTGAACGTGCAGTTAGGGGACGTGGGGATCATACACATGATCTTGTACATGGTGGAGTGTTTGAGGAGATGTCAAATCCTCCTAAGGGATAACAGCTCAAGCGACAGAGGAGACCACCACCATGTGGGATGTAGTTCATATTTTTTTTCTTTATTACTTATTTTTTTCATGCTCTAGATAACAAAGTTTTTATCATATTTAGTTTTGTGTTAGTTACTTACTCCATTGTCAAATAGAAATTCAACATTCTCTACAACAATTTCAACACAATTTATTTAATATAAACAGACAACACTAACTGCACTATTACACCACGTTTAATAGAAACATAATAAACCAACATAATGGAAACAAAACAATGACAATATTGTCCAAATGTTACAGTACAATAATAACATAAAACTTCACCATGGTTCATGGGTCTTCATCTGCATTGGATATCTCGACATCAAAAATACATTCAGCTTCCCCACTCAAGCGAAAGATTAAACGTGTTTTTTCTATCAACCTTTCTTCAGAACGGTCTTGTGCGATGTGACATAGATTGTACTGATTCAAACGGATTTCCATGAGATTGTTTTCAATACGAAACAATGCTCACTCCAATTCTTAAGGAGTGACAATTGGCATATCAATGGCAATTTGTCGAGGTCTTCGAATATTGCAAGTGCCCATATCTTCGCTTAAATTTTTCCTTTCCCTCAAATGAAATTTTCATTTTACCATCACTGTGCTTCTAACCTTGGTTGAATAATGTAAACGACGATTTAAATGATAGAATAACTCATCCTCTAACTCTCGATGATGACCCAAACTTTCAAACAACGTTCACGAATTATAATTGATTGTTTATTGTTAGAGACGCAGTGTGTACAATGAGGTGTTGGACAGACTGTGATTAAATAGTTACACTAAAATTGTTTATTTTGTTGAAGTTGTAGGGCTTTTCATCAAGCCACGTGATGAAGTGACTCAATATTAATTGAAATAAATTAATGCTGAAATGAAAAGACTATAATGCATGAGAATCTACTAGTGTGTAGTAAATATGAAAAGCTACCACGTTACTGTATTGAAAGTGACAAAATACTAATTTTTGTCACGTCACTAATATGACAAGGACATGTGCGTCACACTCATGCAAAAATTGAGTATTTTAATTCTGACTATGCCAATATTGAAATACTAGAGAATCTATTACTCATTTTTTATTCTGAACTTTTTGATTATTTAGATTTAAGTAATGATGCGTTAGACACTTTTGTTCCATTAAATTTATGTGCATGTAATCTCTATGGTGTTATGAGCATCAACTACATTATGGACATACTTTATTTTAAGCAATGTCATGAAATAAAATTTCGGACAATTATTATTAATAGATATATGTGCATGGTTTGTACAATTATTACTGATGGATTTATGTGCATGGTTTGTACAAATTTTAGATACAAAAAAAATATTAGTCTGACTGGCGATTTTAAGTCAAAAGTGACAGTTGGACTGACATTTATAACTTTGCAGTTATAACAAAAAATGCTTAAAAAGTTATTTCAAATAACGTCTTAATGTTTAAAATATTATTTCAATTAACGTTTTTTACTTAAAAACGTCAATTGAACAGACATGTTTAAAACTACCAAAACTACCTGAGGTTGAGAATTATTTTTGAAACCATCCTCTTTTGAAAATACTTTTCTCAAAGCTACTTGGTTTGGTCAAAAGCTCTTTAATTTCCACCTCCCTTCTCTTTTCTGAGTTTCTTGTGATCTCACAAACACGAGAGTTTGTCAAATTATTAAGAAGGAAAGGCAGTCGTCTGGTCAGCGTTATTGTTTTCCCATGAACGATGTGTGTTCGGTTCTCATATTTCACGTAGGGGGTACTGTTTCGCCTCTTTGTACCATGTTTTTGGAGTTGGTGCTCCAAATTATCACCTTTTTTTTATAGCTGATTAAATTTGGACCGTGATTTCTAACCTATATCTTAATCTACCATTATTTATACTTTTGAATGTAAAAGCATCAGCACTTTGGGTTTTATACTGCAAGTGTGTTTTATAAAAATGTTATTATCTTGAAGTGTAGGTTAAACTCACGCTTTCTCATGAACAACTGTATAATTAGAAAGTAATGGTCTCCTGTGTGTCGTACAAAATTTATGACTCTTTCTAACTCTTCTATATTTTTCTATCGAAGTTGAATGAATCATAGTAAATTATAATTCATTCGACATAAAACTTAGTAAATTATAACTCACCGTATCATCCTATAATTTACTACAAGGGTTTTTTCTAGGGGCAGCTTAAGTTAATTTGAGGCCTAAAGCAGAAATATTAAATGAATTTTTTTTTTATTTTTAGTATTATTTTTTTTAAAAAAATAATTTATTTTTAATTTTCTATGTGAGAGGCAAACA